AACCAATTTGAAAAAGGGAGAGTGAGAGAGAGAGAGAATTGTAATCTAGTTTCGATGTAAAAGCCCCATTTGATAAAAATCGATGACGATCAGATTACTACGCGATCTCGATCTCTCGATTCCCTCAATTCATTTCGTTAGAGGTGGAATTTTGACCGAGTGACAAGTTGGGCTTAACACAACAACCAAAAAAACAAACTCATTTGTTCATCGATAAATTAAACTGTAAAATATATTTTGTTTTTCTATTATTACTTCTTTTTAATTATTTTTTTTTGATCATCGTTTAAGTCTATCACCTTTTATCGTTGTTCATCCCGTATAAGAAGGGCTAACTTAAAACCCCAAAAATAAATACCACGGTTAGTGGATGTGGAAAATTAGTGAAATTTCTCAAGTTACGAATAAAGGAGAACGTGAGCTCGAGTAAAACGTTCTCTAAATATACACTCTGTGTATATATATATATATATATATATATACTATATATAAATACGCGTCGATGTTTAAGAGTTTCGAAATTCGAGGATGATTCTCTCGTGGAGGCGTACCACAAAATTCGTTCGCAACCACGGTTGCGTTCGCGTTCATCGATTGGCCATCGAAAGTGGGCTGCTTGCTTGCTGGTGCACACAACGGCAAAAGAGTAAAATCGAGCGACCGGTGGCGTCCGTACCGACGGCAACAACCAACGGGTGGTTGAATACCTTAAGGTTAAGGTTCTATCGGATCGGACGTTTCTAAAAACGCTTCTCAATTCTTAATGAAGAAGAAGAAGAAGAAGAAGAAAAAGTAGAAAAAATAGAAGAATAAGAATATAAAAGCGTGCGAAAATGCGATACATATATATATATGTGTGTGTGTGTGTGTATTACAACATATTCAGTCTTTGGAAAGCTTCTCTCAATGTTAAGAGTATAAATTTCACAGCGGGTTGGCCGGTTGTCGATTTATCGTTGCTCGACCGACCGGAATAGAATAGAAAGAAAAGAAAAAAAAAAGAAAATAGAGAAAGATAGAGATAGAGAGATAGTTTGAAACGAAGAATAAAGTAAAAAGGTGGTACGAGTAGGAACGATTGAGAAAGAAAGTAGCGTAAATTTTGGTGTTCCTAGTTCATAGTAGAGACGCGAGTAGTTTGCTAGATGCTATAATGGGGACCCCCCGCGGTAGCTTACCTGCATCATCGACTAATCACATCGGATAATAGGGAACAATGGCTGCCTCGTGAAAAGTGAAGCATACCCACCACTTACCTTCTTCCTACCCCTCGTCCGGACCCTCGATGGTCCACTACGCGAAATCTCTCTCTCTCTCTTACTGCTGGACAGTATGGGTGTGTGTTTCTACGTGTGTGTGTGTGGGTATGAAATGGAGAGAGAGAGAGACGATATAATCCTCTTACGCACCGAGTACAAAGTAAAATGCAGACAGCACAGGCGGCGTGTTTCCTTTCCAGGGTATATTACGTGCGTCGGCACGAGGAAAAGAAGTAAACGTTACGAAATAGGAAATAAAGAAGATGAACAAAATATTAAAAGAAGAAATAAAGAGAGAGGGAGTCGAGATGAACGTGCTAAAAATTCGCTATTCCGTGGATATATTTTCTCTATTGTTCGACAAAATTCTTCTTATCTATCTTTCTATATTTATTTTTCTCGTTGTCTTACAAGCCCTCGTGGATCTTTTAAGCGAGCACCAATTTAAGCCGAATCTCCGATCACGAAACTCGGACCACGATCGAAAACTTACCCTCTCTCTCTCTCTTTCTCTCTTTCTCTCTCTTCCTTTGGTTTGAACCACCGGGTGCCTCGAGGAAGAGGAAGGACTGGTGAGGTAGTCTTTGTCGAATCTCTCCGAGTGAAACACGAGCTCGTACTCGAAAGGCCGCACTCTCAATATAACCTCGTTATACTTGCTCGAAGTAGGTTTACGGCTCTCGAGGGTCGCCTCGATGGTTTCTCGTTACCACACTCTCTCTCTCTCTCTCTCTCTCTCTCTCAGTTGCTGCACGAGTAAAGTCTAAAGATAAAGAACAAAGATAGAGAAAGTTAGACAGATAGATTACCGTGATAGAAAAAGAAAGGGACTCTCTTCTTTGCCCGTTACGTATAATCAAATCTTCTTCTTCTTCTTTTCGTTTTTCTTTTTCTTCCTTTCTTCGCAACAAACTCTTTTCGCGTTTGACCCTTTTATACGCACTTTCCACCTACCCCCGCCCCACCCCCTGAAGAAATAATATCTTATCTCAAAGACGGGAGAAAAGAAAAAGAATAAAATAATTTGTCTTTTCGTTACAATGTGTTTTACGTGCAAAAGTCAGTAATATATCGAAGACCCTTTTGAATTTTCTCGAGGAGTGGTTTTAAAGAGAGGGAAGAAACGATATATCGACGCGGTCGCGAGATATATTTCTCGAGAACGATTTCTGAGGCGCGAGACCACGAGAAAGATAGAAAGAGATAATGATAATGGTAAAGAAAGATAAGGGATGAGAAGTAAAGCTACCACCGAGGCGTGGTCGTGCGAGCCAACCGCTGAGAATCCTATTGCATAACTTCCTCTCTCTCTCTCTCTCTCTCTCTCTCTCTTTCTCTCTCCCTCTTTCTCTCTCTCTCTTTCTCTCTCTCTCTTCAGTATACGTTCTCTGAAACAAACGAAACAAGGATGAGAGAAAGAGAGTATCATCGACTCTCGATAAAGGATCCGACGTTCTCGCGAAGCTAATAGAGCGACGCGCGGATTGCTGGGTGGTGACTTAAAGGGGGTGGAAGGAAAGAGGGATCGAGGGAGGGGTAGGAGAGAATATTCAGAGAGTGGGAGAAAGGGGGAGAAAAGCGATAGATTAGGTGGGTACATCGCGCGATCGTGGACGAGGACGACGGGTATAGACTCGCGGCAACTAGCAATGTATCGCAGGAATAACCGGGGGTGAGAGAGGGAGGAAAACGGAGAATAGTAGTAGTAGTAGTAGTAATAGTAGTAGGGTGTAAAGAGAACGTGGAGAAAGCGAGAGAGAAAGCGTGGAATAAGGTAGACTCTTGGTATTGGTGGGGTAGGAGAAAACGAGTGAGTGAGTGAGTAAAAGAGAGATAGAGATAGAGAGAGAGAGAGAGAGAGAGAAAGGATAGAAATAGAAGGAGAGGGAGAAGGGAGTTCAGGCTATAAAGGCTAATTGGTTAAAAGCTCACCGCTGGCTGCAGGCTTAAATCAAGATCTTGGAGTGTTATAATGGATAAGTAACACGGCGTGGCAGGGGCACCACCACCAGCAGCAACAGCAGCAGCAGCAGAAGCAGAAGCGGGTTGTGGTGTTTCCCTCTTTCGAGGCTCGTTCATCCCCCTTCCTACTACGTTAACTCCATTTCCCCCACTCGAATCTGTCTCTTTCTCTCGTTGGAATAACTGGTAGAAAGGCCCCGGCAGCCAACGTTCGTTCGTCCCACTCTCTCTCTCTCTCTCTCTCTCTCTCTCTTTCTATCTTTCTTTTTCTACCCCTCGTACTCGATCACAGAGTTGGTGTAGATAGAAACGCAGCAGGCACGAGGAGGGTAGGGACAGGGGGCGGGGGGACGAGTATCTTCGGATTTAAGGACGCGAGCGAGTCAGCGATTGGCTCGTAACACGAACTACCCCTCCGGCAGGGTGGTGGGCCATGCTAGGCATCGATCGCGTCTCCGCCCTATGAGGAATCGCCGGAGCCAGCCGCATTCGCGCGACTACACTCCCGTGCTCCGCCCCTCTTGACGCCACAACCCTTCGACCTAGCCGACAAGCTCGACTATCGCGGCTTATACCCCCACCAATTTCTCCACCCTTCGTCTCTCTCACTCGATCTACGCAACCACCACCAGCAACAACAGCACCGCACCACCATCATCGTCGTAGTCGTTGCTACTGCTACCCCTATACGTCGTCAGCACCACCCCTCTCGTTTCACCAACACCACTTCCAATAATATCTCCGTCAACGGTAAGAACGTCGAGCGTGACTCCGCGATACTTCTCTCTCTTTCTCTCTCTCTTTCTATCTATCTATCCATCACACACACACACACACACACACACACATTTTTCAACCCCTCTGCGCGAGCTCACGAATCGTTCGCACTCTCGAGCCAGTCTCTCGCGTGCGCGGCTGGACGTTCGCTCGTGTGCGAACGTCGGAGCCCACATTGATGCGAACCTGCGGTTTCCTTCAACATTTTTCCTACCCCCTTTTTTTTATCCAACCGTTAGAGTAGTAACAATCGGCCATAGTACGTAACTCGTGCTATAATCAAACACACGTTCTATCATCTAGCTCTCGAGTAGTGCTGCAAGTTTCCTTACAGTTTCAATTGACTAACTAAAATTCATCTAGTTCTTCATTTTATTAATTCTGCATTATTATAGTTTACATATTATTTAGGAGAACAAATAGATAAATAGTCAGACGAATCGACGAACAGAAACGTTTCCTAAAGACGATATCGAGTCGATTAACGATTGAAGAAAAGCACCAAGAGAGAAGGAGAAAGTGTAAGAGAAATAGATAAAGATAGAAAGAGAGAGAGAGAGAGGGGGAGAGAATGTTGTCGCGGTTTTACGCGCGCGCTTATGCTCTCGCCTCTCTCGAATAGCTGAACGATACGAAAGAGAGAGAGAGAATTTCGAAGGTGGAGGAGGAGGAGGAGGAGGAGGAAGAGGAAAAGGAGAATATGTGGAGGGGGTAGTTTGCAAGGGTTGATAGTGTACATACAAGAGTGCGATAGAGTAAGAGGGTGGGAGAGGGGGGAGGTACGACAACAACGTCGAAAGCGACAACGACGAAAACGAGGAAAACGACTACGACTACGACTACGACTACGACTACGACTACGACGAGGACGTGGACGAAGACGACGTTGAAGAGGAGGAGGAAAAGGAGAAGGTGGAGGAGGAGACAGTGTCTAAAGCAACGTGACTCGTTGGTGGTAGTAGTAGTGGTGGTGGTGGTGGTGGTGGTGGTGGTGGTGGTGGTGGTGGTGGTGGTTCTACCGTTGGTGGTAACGTTACTACCAGTAGAGGGGGTCTCTCGAAGGGTGTTGGAGAAGAGGAGAAGGAGGGCCCTCGAAAGTGTCTCGTCGTCTCTCTCCTATCCTCCCGTCGTTCAGGGTATCGTTTACGAATGTCGCGCGATCGAGCGTTCCGCCGGCGATCTACGAGAAGCTGCTGCTGCTGCTGGTGCTGGTGCTGCTGCTGGTGCTGCTGCTGCTGCTGCTACTGCTGCTGGACGAACGCTTATCGTCCTCGCGTTTGCTCGTGGGAAAATCAACGAATACGCTGATTCCCGATAGATATTTTTTTTGTCGAATAATAGATAATAGAATCGCGTTTTAGAGTAATTAAAGATAAAACGAAATAAGAGGGAGAAAGGAATAAAGGAAGATAATAATAATACGCGCGTGACATGATACAAGAAGATAAAGTAATCATCATTGTGTCCGGTGATCATCTGGTAGTAATTACTACCTTGGACTTGAGATAAGTGATTGAGTAATACAGGAGAAACCAGTCGATCGTTCTTTCCTTTTTTTTTCCCCCCCTTTTTTTCTCTCTCTCTATCTATCTTTCTTTCTTTTTTTCTTTCTTTCTTTCTCTATTCGACGATAGACTTGGTAAAATATAATTCGTCGCGAAAAGTGTTTACGATAATGTCCGGCGAGACGGAGATCGAAGTGTCGGTCGTATCCGAGGAGGATCTCGAGCTCGAGGGCTCGCGAAGTAGTTCAACCCCTGCGGACTTGTTAATTCAAGATAAAAATGGAAAAGGTAGTTGCGGATTGGCGCTTGGTAATCATCATCGTCCGTTCAGCTTCGACGTTGGCAAGCCGGCCCTTAGGCCGGCTGGCAATCCCCAATACACGTCGTTCAGTATTCAAAGTATTCTTGGTAGATCGGTGTCACCAAGAAGCGATTCGACGTCTAACGTTTCCTCAACGGAAAGACGTTCGACCGATGTCGAGGTTGCATCCTCGCCCGTTTCCCCGCCCAGTTCTAGGACGAACAATCAAAGGATCCATCCGTCATGTGCTAGCCCACCTAGAATAAGCTCGCCTACTTCTCTGAAACAAGCCGTCGGTCATCAACGTGCATCGGCGAGCAATCAAGTAATCGAAAACAACTCGAGAAACGATGCTGCAAGCATCGGTGTTGGTTGTACAAGCCCACCTAGTCCTACCGTCGCAACAGCATATTCACCAACTACCAGTGATGCCACGACTAATTCCAATTTGGCTCATCAAACAGTCGATTTTGCCACCGTCGTTGAACATGGACACATGCTTCAAAGGTACGTACCATTTTTAGGTATATTCAAATATTAATAATTTTATTAGAGTTCACCAGTTAATTACTTTAGTTATTCCTCGGTCAAATTCGAATAAAATAATTTGAGTATCTCTCTAGGGTTCTACTATTCTCTAGCATTCTTCTTCTTCCTAGAGTCAGTATCAAATGAAAAAGAAATAATCAACTTTCTTCCTTTCCTTCTCTCGCGGGTAAAGGTAAAAACTTTAGTGGGCGTGATCGGTCTTCTTGGATCAAGACGCGCACACGTCGAGGGGTAACGAAATGGCTGGTTGACGTGGGTGATGGGTGGCTTCGAAGCAAACAGAAAAAAAAAAAAAAAGAGAGAGAGAGAGAGTTGTACGCGTGCGGTGAGGATTATATTATGTGGGAATGGACCGAAGGGGTCTTGGTAATGGGCCTATTAGGCTGTCTCATTTAATAACAACCGTAGCAACAACCACCCTCTTACATTACTTACGTTACTTAGGAGTGGCATAGGGTGCCGCGTATCGGATATATCTGCTTCGAACGAAACTAAACTGAAGGATATGCCATGCGCCACGAGGGGCCAGCAAAGAACAGAAAAAGAGAGAGAGAGAGAGAGAGAGAGTTGAGGGTTCGAGATGATTTTATCAGATTTACACCCCTCCAGATCGGCTCGTCCTACTACCCCTTCTCAACAACCCAACTACTCGAATTGCTTGTTTTCCAGCCGTTTACCATTTGATTAAGTTCCACTCACGGCTCGAAGGGCACGGACGTTCCTTCTTCTTCTACTTCTTCTACTTCTTCTTCTTCCCTTTCCCTTTCCCTTTCTCTCTTTTTCTCTTGTTAAAAGATCTAAATACTCTAAAGAACATTACGATATAGTTGAAGGGAAATGGGAGTAAGAAATCACTTAGATACCGTGTGCATAATGGATAGGCGGATGGAGCCGCCCACGGACGTAGTCAAAGTTAAGGAGCCTAAGATTCCCTTGAGAAAGGGCCATCCACTATCTCGTCCATTTCGTGAACGACGCCGACGCTTTAACGTCTTCTTCCGTCAAGAGGAAGCTAGGAGAAACTTTGAGAATTGATTTATTATTAAATTGAGATGCTCTAAGGAAGAGCCGCAATACACCTTCAAGGTCGTCTATCAGAACCAAAAGCGATTACTTTATTCATCGTATCGAAAGAGATCGATAGATCATCGTCGATCATCGTTTTAATATAAATTCCTGCGTTTATTGTCTTGAAACTGTATAATAAGATTGTTGTATTTTCTTTTTGTCGAAATATTCATTTGAAAAATCCTAATAACATCATAAAACTTTATAGTTTCTCTATCTATTATGGTTTCATCTTTTTTACGATTATTTCAATCTTATACGTGTACGTCGAATAGAGAGATAAATAGATAGAAAGAGATAGAGATAGAGATAGATATATAGAGAGAGAGAGAGAGAGAGTAGATATGGCGTCGGGTAGCAAAAGATGCGACTGAATAATCCGCGACAGAGTCAGGCTCGTTAATTACAGCGTCGATGAATGATTCGTTAATTAGAGTGGGATCGCGCTCGAACTTTCAAAGGAAGGCACGATAAAGCCTATTGTGTATGATCGCCCATTCGAGGGCGATACGGATGTTTCAACGTGGTGAACAAACGGGGATACGAGAACGGTACCTGGGAACGCGAACCGCGAATAATAATTGCGTCGAAACAGTCACCGATTCCCTTCGACGTTTGTTCCCTGTACCGGCAAATGACGCTTCGCTATATACACACGCCCACCCACCATACCACTATCTCAATCTATCTTTATTTCTCTCACTCTATCTCTATCTCTCTCTCTCTCTCTCTCTTTCTAGTTAACACACACATACACATAGACAGAATTTCTATCATCACTCTATATCTTTCGCGAACTCAAACTCAAAAGATCCCATAGTCGTCGTCCTCGTCCTCGTCGTCGTTTCATAAAACGTGACGCGCAACTCGTCGAGTAATTAGCGATCGAGTATTCTTTAATAACCAAAGAAAAAAAGTTACCTAACCTTAAATAGTGATACAAATAAACAAAATCAGATGAAGAAAAATGATAACAATGTTGCCGTTACCTGTACACGCTTAACCAAAGAAAACATTACTTGCATTGGTATACGTGCAACGATGATAATAATATAATGATTATAATTATTATAATATATATTGTGTAGATTTTTGTGGATACGTTAATTACAACAAATAATAAATGGGGGAAAGAAAAAGGAACAAAAAAGCTTCTCTTTTTTTCTATTAAAATTTATTCGTATTTTTTCGAATTGCTTTTAAGTACTTACATACGTGCACCACGTGTAGTACGATAAGATTACGTAGGGTACCACCTACATATGCATGAGGTTTCCCGCTTTTCTTCATCGTGTGTTAGAGAACCAAAGAGTAAAGAAGTTTGAATGAAATCAAGTATCGAACGAACACGAGAATTAATCCTTTCCACTTGGCCCTACTACTAACGCAACGAAGCCAAGCAAATGGATTTAGCTGTATGCATTGAAAGCCAATAACTTGACGTTGGGTCATCGTAATGACACTTTACAAGTGTCTTTCATCGCGAGGAACAAATCTTACTTTCATCGATCTTCCCAAGCCGAACTTGGGGGGGCTAACAATCGAAAGAAATTGACGATAAACAATAAGTTATTACATATAAGTAACTCTCCTATAAAACGGTAGATAAGTTCCTAAAAAATGTGTCATTTTCAAATAATTTAGTTTTATAAAAATGTTAAACAATTGTCATATTATTCTGTGCTGTAAAAGTACAGTGTTCTACAAAGATTTTTCGCAATTTCCTTATCGTATTGTAGAAGGGTTACATATATTAACCCCTTGGCCTACACGATATCTGCCAATTGTGCGAGCCATAATAAACAAGAGAGTCGTCGCGCGCCATGCCATTCTTCAACTGTTCAGCCCTATACCCGAACTGGCGCAAAATATATACTCACCACGAGTAGGACTCGTGGTTTTCGCTTATGGCACAAATTCTTTACCACGAGTCGGACTCGTGGTTATAGGCCAAGGGGTTAACAAATAGAAAACAACTGAAGGATCTAACGATAATTAAAAGAAAAATCTGTATCGATCCTAAATAGTTGGGATTAACAGGACGAGTACGATGCTTAAACGATGAACGTGCCGTGATCGACTTGTTTTTCCTCGTTGTATTCTTCCTAAACTACCCTCCTAGGCGGTGGTGTAACGGTAGACGACAAAACGTATCGTATTACTAGCGATCGTTAACCACGGCATAAAGAGTTTATATTCGAGAATGGCACTTACGTGCAGCTAACGTGCGTCAGGCAAAAGGTGGAATAATAATCGATATACGTGTACATGTAAAAAGGGAGGGGAGAATTATTTTCTATTCTCTTGTTGTAAGAAGAGAATAGAATCGTCCTATTCCTTTCTAGTCGTTAAATAACAAGGGGTAACAACATTATGCCGGTTACGTATGTACAAACTTCTTTCATATTTATATATATGAAACTACCGATTGTTCCCAGCTCATAATCGGACATTTCGTATTTTTTACCGAACCCATTATGATAAATCAAAACTTTCGTACATTTTTTTAATTAATATTTCACTCGCATTAAAAAGTTATTTTAAATTGCACTATCTGAAAACAATGCAATAAACGCGCGAACATTCGGTTCAACCTAATAATATTATGCACGTATATATATATATATATATATATATATATATATATATATTATAACAGTATATTTCGTAAAATAAGTTTCATTTTATACTGAATAAGATTATCGACAACACTTCGAATCTTGATAGAAATCTAAAAAGTAAAAAAGGAAATAGAATATATCGTAATGCGAGTCGTAGATCGATGCCAAAAAAGAAAAAAAGAAACAAAGAAGAATAACGTAAGACGATCGAAAAAGAGGCAACAACCAACGCCTAATGCTTTCCCTTCGAACTTTTTGGTGATACGTAAAGCCGCGGCAAAGAATTAAGCTGCAAAAAGGTGGAGCACGTTCCTCTCTCTTTCTCTTTCTCCCATTTTGTCTCTTTTTCTATCTATCTATCTCTCTTGTTCTATCTTCTATCCATCTCGAGAATAGAAGAAGAAGCACTGTGTTTGGTGTTTATACCTGCTCCTTAGAAAGGGTCGGTGGATGCTTACAAACAGGCGGTTGTCAGATTTCTTTTATCTTTCCCGGGGCATCTGTGTATAGGCCAGAAGCCTCTGGCGTTACGCTCCTCTTTTCGTGTTTCCTCCTCGTTCGGGTAGCTTGCGATGGTGGTCCTCCTCCTCCTCCTCCTCCTCCTCTTCTTTCCTTTTGGATTCCCCTCCTCGTTTCTCGAGTCGACGTCCTTACTGGAGGACGACTACGACGCGAAAAGAGAAAGAGAGATAGATTCGGTGAGATCCTTTAATCGTTTAATTACCCTCCACTGAGATATTCGATATCAAAAAGAGGAAAAGAGGATTAAGAGAAAAGTCAGAATTACTTTGAGTTAGACTACCTTATTCTGATAAGAGGAAATATTCATTCATTGGATCTCGTTACCTATCTCTTAATTATTCTAACAGATATTTAATATCGAAAGACAACGGTTTGGGGTTCATAAAACTAAACAATTATCTCATGCTTTAATGGAAAAGTAATTATCTATTTCTTTAACATTAATTTTATCAACGATTGCATTATTTATTATCCAATTGATTGTTGTTTGCATTAAATAGTAAAAAGAAAATTAAAATCGATAATTAGAGATCGTTTACGTTATAAATAAGGTACTAACATGGATCGTTGCTAAATTTAGTGTTAATGAAAATCAATGAAAATTATACTTTGACAGAATGAAGTAGCGGAAGAGAAAGAATAAGAATAAGAATAAGAGAACATCGAAACGAGATCGGATCCGTTCACATCGCAGACGGACAGACTGTTCGCTTCCCTCTAGCAGGGAGGAACACAGGGGAAAGTAGTAGGGCTTCTGAAGCCTCAGTGTCTATACCTACCACCTTCCGAGTAGTGACCGTGCTGAAACGTCTATCCATCTATCCAGTTCTATCTACCTACCTACCTACATTTTTGCTGATCTAGGAGACCCCAAATCATCAAACTAAAGCATTCACTTATCTCTCTCTCTCTCTCTCTCTCTCTCTTTCTTCATTTTGTCGAAATTGACATGTTTAAAATCGGAAGAGAGAAGTGTTTTCTAATTCCCTTATTCATTTGCTACGTTTCCCATTCTTCAAATCCGTTAACGACGATCAAATTTTCTCGCTCGAGTATTACGATGAGTACCTGTTGTTATGCGACACAGGGATAAGCGAGAATCGGATAATACTCTAAACAGGTCTCTTCTCCCCCTCTTGTTCTCTTCCTCTCTCTTTCTCTGTCTCTGTCTCCTCCCCTTCAGGTATACTCTCTCAAACAGCGTGATCTCTTCTCGAAGAAAGAGGAAGAAGATGGATATAGGGAATGATGGAAAAAGAGAGCGAGGCTTTAGCTTTAAGCGGATTTTTCCTCTTAACGATCCACGTCGCCAGTTTTCGAATTCCTAACGGTGAAAAAAAGAAATAACACGTATTTCCATTTATATCTCCGATTACATAGTAAAAAGTAAAATAGCGGAACTCTTGTTTTGTTCACCCTATTCTCGTTAATAGATTGGGACTGATGTCTACCCTGATAAGCGCCCGATATCCAGTCGGTGTTTTCTTCCCGCCGTTGCAACATCTTCATCAGCATCCGCAACAACAGCAACACCAACAGCAACAACAACAACAGCAACATCATTCCCGTTTAGCTACGGTTTCATCAGCGTTGAGTAACGCTGTTCAAGTTGCTGGACAAACCGCGGATATCAATGAGGTAACAGCCGAAGCTAGCATCAGAGGAGTACTTCCTGGTGGGCCAGCAGCTTGGCCATTTCCATGGAGGCCTGCTCACGGATTGCAAACACTCGAACATCCGTCGCCAGGCGACGTTGTTGGTGCTCTCAGTCGTGTCAGCCCAGCTTCCGCATCCTTTCCTCAAAAGGGTGAGTCTAACTGCGACTTAAATTCTACCTTGACAATCCTATTTGACAAGAGGAGGAGTTTAAGGAGAAACGTTAGGGCCTATTAGTTACCGGATTTAGATCGATTTCAGATAATAATTTGGCTATTCTTTCGGATAATCGTTAAGTGCGTCGCGATCGATAACGAACACATCTGAGGAAAAACGACTCTAATAATAGAAATATCTGAAAGAAATGTCTATCGGGGGTCCATTTAGTTTGAAATCTTGGTCCTACGTGATCTATATATATATATATATACATTGAATACTTGCCATTTAGAAAATTTGTCTATAATACTTACAAATCTGGACTTAATTATAATAGAGCAGGCATTGTATTTTCGGATTACTAGTTGAAATAGTATTCGTGTTTAGTCAAATTCTGTCCGTTCGGGGGTTCATGTATTGAATGTATTTTATCATTATTGGTAATTGACGAACGGAGAATAAGGATGAGAAAGAGTTTTTAGGGAAAGACGGTTGAAGGGAAAGGCAAGTGGGGTATACATACACATATTTATAGGCGAGAACGTGTACGACGATGACGAGTACGGCTTCCAGGGCTTCCGCCGCGACAAACCAACGACGATCGCCTTACCCGACGATCGTTTTCCTCTTGCCACTTCGTTCTATTCTCATTTTGGGATCCCTCAAATGTTGTCTCCGTTCTATTTCGTCTAACGATTCAAACGCGACCGCGAGATTGATTAAACAAACCTTAGCCCCAATATATATATATATATATATATATATATATATATATAGATGTTATAAATTTGTCGATTATCAAATGCACGGGGAAAGAGAGAGAGAGAGAGAGAGAGAGAGAGAGTCATTCTCTCTGTCTGTCCATCTCTCTAACTAATACTCGTCGATCGAACGATTATCACGAGCGAGCTGAAATGCACTAGAGACGAAACGCATTTACTCGGATACTTGATCTAGCTAGGCCAATTAAGTTCGATGGGAATAAATAGAATATTAATTGACGGACTACCCAATCGAGTAAATAATCAATGTGGCTAGCTGCACCGATAACTGTTAGATTACCGTGAATTCGCGTACGCGAGTAGTTGTTGGCATTTTGGAATAAGGAATAATCGGTTAAAATAAATAAATAAAAGCAAGGAAGGAAGCTGATAGGAGGATGTATAGATTAGGATAGGAGAATACGGTTATATAAAGAGGTATCATAATAGATCGCGAAGAATAATCGATAAACGGAATAAATAAATAAATCGAGGATGAAAACGTTGTGTGCGAGCAGACGAGCTGGAGGACGAGAACGTCGAGGACCGGCTGCACCGGACGAGAAGTTCATCGAGCGGGGACGAGGCTCACGACGAGTTGGCCGACGGGGACGATTGCCAAGATGGCGACGGCGACGGCGACTCGACGAATGCAGGATTGCACGGTGGCGTGGGCGGCGGTGGGTCGGCCGGTGGTGGAGGGGTTGGTGGCGGAGGAGGTGGCGGTGGAGGTGGTGGCGGGGGTACCGGTGCTCAGAGTAACGGAGTGCAAGTGGGCCTAGACTCGCGGGATTCCGGTAGCATAAAGCGGAAGAAGAAGACGCGCACGGTGTTCTCGCGATCGCAGGTCTTCCAATTGGAATCGACGTTCGACATGAAACGTTATCTCTCCTCCTCGGAACGGGCAGGGCTAGCCGCGTCCCTGAGATTAACGGAGACTCAGGTGAAGATCTGGTTCCAGAATCGTCGGAACAAGTGGAAAAGACAATTGGCAGCCGAATTGGAGGCCGCCAATATGGCGCATGCTGCACAGAGACTGGTCAGGGTACCGATATTGTATCACGAAGCATCTGCGGGCAGCGCTACCTCGGCTGGGGTATCGGTATCGGTCGCGGCACCACCTCAACCACCCACGGCACCGTCCTCGGCCGTTTCCTCGGTGCTCTCCCATTCCGTCGGGGTTGGCGTTGGCGTAGGAGTCGGCACTTCCTGTGCCCAAGTGGTCGGTCAAACGGCCCAACCGATCTTCTACTCTCATCACCATCAACACCATCATCATCACCCGACTCACGTCCAGCCCCATGCCCTTTTACCCCACCAAGTGCATCCCCAACCGCCCCCGCCACCCCCGCCACCGCCCAACGGGCAACCAACCCAATCCTCCTCGCAATAACACCGTCCGCTATTCTGCCCGATTGCGATCGTCTTCGACCGGCAGCACCAGCAACAACAACCTAAGGGAATCACCTTGAGAAACGACCACGACCACGACGACGACCACCACCAACGCCTCAGGAAGGAGAATCGAGAGGAAGGGGTGGAAATAAGGGATGTGGACGAACACCAGGAGGAGGAGGACGTTCTCTCGGTGTCAATCGACGATGCTCGTCCTTCCGACGTAGATCTCGATGTTGGATGAGCCTGATCATTATGCATCATAAAAGAATGGACTTTCTCCCCCTCTCTCTCTCTTTCTCTCTCACCCTCGTTAACTCTCTCTCTCTCTCTTTCTCTCTCTCATTCTCTCGGATTCTTGCAATCTATCTATTTCTTTCTTTATTTCTTCTCTTTCTCTTAGTTTACTTTCTTTGCTTCGCGGGCTCGGGACTTTTCGTGCAAATGTCGGATTCGAAGAATTCTTTCGACGTCCTCGAGAGAAATAAAAAGAGAGATAGATAGATAGAGAGAGAGAGAGAGAGAGAGAGAGAGAGAGAGAGAGAGACACATCGGGGAAAGAGGGAAGACAGAACAGCAACATTGCAAACGTTTTGCTATAAAAAGTCTCTTCCTCGTGAGAGAGAGAGAGAGAGAAAGGGAGAGAGTTAAAGAGAGAAAGAGAGTATAAAGAGTGAGAGAGAGAGAGAGAGAGAGAAATAAAGAAAGAGAGACCGATATAATACATGCAAAGTTCGTATAAGTGCGCTACTACACTAGTGTGTGTGTGTGTGTATGTGTATATATAGATTTTGAAAAAAAATGACGTCCTGGACGTAATCTCGGGACTGTTCTCTCTCTCTGTTTGGGGGCTATAGACCTTAGCTACGTCCTAAGACACGGCCAGGGTTCCTACGAATATATTCTACCTGTTGTGATAAGTATCCAAACGATTGATTTTATTAAATGAACGGTAGAGTTACGAAAAACAACGTGCATCATCTTCTCCTATTTATCTCTTCACCTTATTTCATTTCTTTTTCATTATTCTAATTGATTACTTTTTCATTTATCTTTTTTTTGTTTTAAATGTCTACGATTTATAAATCTGGCATACACGAATTTGTTTACTTTACGATACAACCCTACACGAATTATTGAAAACACGTGTATGCAATTTTGGATCATCGAATATCACCTGTAGATATTTATGTATTAACATATCTTTCAGAATGTTGATCAGGTTTCATTTCACACATACTTTAAACCTAAACATGAAAAAGTATGGAATCGCAATCATAAGGTCTTGAAAATATGGATTAACCCTTGTTTGCATGATTTTTTCTTTTCTTTTAAAAATAAATCAGGATGATGTAATTAATGCTTTAGATTAAAGGAAAAATATTAAAAAAAAAACTCCTAGTGCTATTTTTTGACAACTGCGTTTTGTTGTACGCAATAGTCGCTTAAAAAGTTGCCAGCAACAACAAATATACAGTACAAGGGTTTTGAGTAGTACCTTTTTTTACTAAAATTTATATTTAGTAAAAACTAAATATTATCATTGAAATTTCCATCATCATGCAAAGAAGGGTTAACTTTATTCGAACTTTGTAAAAAATTTCCAACAAAATCCTCAACCCTTTCCCGATTAGTCAACGTGAAAAAAAAAAATGATCACGACGATTCGTCAGAATGAAAATTGCAAATGGCTTTATCATCATCATTCTCTCTATCAGAAATCTTAAAGAAAAAAATCATTTCTATAAACTCAAAGAGAGAGAAAGATATATATATATATATAATTCCATATCGAAGAAAATTTCTTTTCTTTCTGATATTATAGTCGAAAAAACGATTATACAAATAAACGAGAGAGAGACAGATGATAGATAGATAGATAGATCTTGCTTGATCTTATTGTTTGACGCGATGCGGTTTCGCGCTTTTAACTCTTATCCGCTTTTATTCATGATACTCGTGAGAAAGAGAAAAAGAAACAGAAAAGAAGAAGAAGAAGAAGAAGAAGAAGAAGAAGAAATAGAAAGAGAAGAAAAAAAACAAGCAGCATACGAAAGGTATAGAAAAAGAAAGAGAGAGAGAGAGAGAGAAAGAGAGAAAGAAAGAAAAAATGTTTTGCCATCATCGACGTCGACATCATCGTCATTTCGATGACTACTACCTTCACTACCGACGGCTCTTAGTTGCAACCACGAGGGAGAACGTACGACAATGGCCGCTCGTTCTCTTTTCTTCCATCGACGCGTTCTCTCGCGGCATATACTTTCCCTTCCCTACCCTTCCCTTCCCTACCCTTTTCACCCCCTTTCTCCTCTCTCTCTCTCTCTCTTGTTCTCCACACAGTGTTTCTACACGAGACGTATCTTCTATCTCTGAGTAAGTACGCGCATCTAAGTATGTAGGTGCATTTCAATCATCCTTCTCATACCCTGCCATCGCACCTTCGACTCTTTTCCTTTTCTGATCTCTCTCTCTCTCTCTCTCTCTCTCATTCTTTCTTTATTTCTTTTTCTCTTTCTAGTATATTATGTACAAGCCTTTCATCCGTAAGTCTAACTTTTTCTTCTCACTCGTTCGTTCGTTCATTCGTTCGTTCGTTCACTCACTCATTTCTCATGCTCTGTTTTAGTTTAGTTCTTTTTACAGCGTCACCCAAACCCGTCCGCACGCGATAATCTTTTGTAAAGCACAGAGAGAGAAAGAGAGAGAGAGAGAGAGAGAGTTACCGGTATCGGAGGGTACACCACCGATTCTCTACGTTCTCTTTATATATATATATATGTTTCTCTATCTATCCTCAAAGCTGTGTTTCATTTACTCGTCAAATCGATCGGCCGAGAGTAACTGCACTCGGTATGGTTACGTACGAGCTGCCGATTCGTTTCCGTGGAAGTTCGATCTAACCATCCATTTGTTTTTTACGGTTCTACCTCGTACACCTCTTCTCTCTATCTACCGTCGGGACCACAAAATTGTTGACGAAACCACCACGGGACGATATGTCAAAGCCCCATTCGGGTCCGTTCGCTTCAAAGTATAGACAGAAAGAGAAAGAGAGAGAAAGAGAGAACCTGCGTTTTGATTTCGGGACTCGAGTGATCGCCGCGATTCGAATTCGTCGAATAAGGCTGGAGAACCAGGGTGAAAAGAAGAGGGGTGGGTGAGACCTGATTCGTCGACTGATAAAACGGGAAAAACGAGAGGAACGAGAAAAAAAAGACTAAAATAAAATTAAAAAGAGAACTTGTACCGAGATCGGATCGATTAAATTACGTTTTTTCTTTGAGTTTTAATATCCCATAGATTAAATATCTGCCTACGATACTGTAATATAATCCATCCCCCTAATAGCGAACATATTCAGGAAAAGATTGTCGAGGTTCGCGGTAGGTCCTGCTTTTGCTCTTTCCTGGCTTCTTTGTATTCTTTTCGTCTTTTTAACTAAGCCAAGAAATCGACATTTTTTTTCGTGGCACGCGTCCACCCACACCCACCCCGTTCGTTCCCTTCCCCCGATTTGACCATGGGACCTCTAATAGTATCTTCCTCTTTTTTATTTCTACTTTTGTTCCTTCTCTTTTTGTTGTTTCCAATCAGTTTTTTTGTTGTTTTCATCATCCCGTTCGATGGGATGCTTCGACGAACGATTCGACGACGACCGCAGTTGGTAAAACGAGTCGATAACAATTCGAAACAACTTTTTGTTTTTCAGAAAACCGATGGGGGAAAATAGGGGCGCGGGGGTGAGGCGTGGGTAGGGTAGGACGTAGGGGCGAGGGGGGGGGGCAGGCAAAAATATTCGTCGGAAAATACTCTCGGTGTGTGTGTGTGTGTGTGTGTGTGTGTGTGCTAGGTGCCCGGTAAATAAATCGTGAATTATTTCATATGAAAATTGTTATCGACGATTCCACTTGTTCGATATACGTACATGTATATATATATATATATACATATATAAATATATAATACACGTATATATATATATATATATATATACTTTTTTTTACATTCGATTAAGGTTCGACAAAACACGCGTTAATTATTTTTACGTTTATCGAAACGTACGTACGTACGAACGAGCAAGACCTTTGACAAAATGGCGGACACACACGGAGAACACGTCCGCCATGTTGAGAAAGATTTTTCGAAAAGTTAGAAAATAGAAACGAACTGAAAGGAATTCTCTCTCTCTCTCTCTCTCTCTCTCTCTCTCTCTCTCTTTATCTATCTCTATCTCTTTCTCTCTCATTCTCCCTCTTCTTGCGAGAGGTCGATCGATCGAAAAACTAACGTCGACGAAAAAGATGCATTGTGTCGTGTCGACGAAATCCGGAGTCGAATTGCGTCGCTCCGCCCTTTTCCTACGTATCGAATCACGAAGTAATTTAACGCGTAAGGGGGGTATAACACTCTTTACCTACTAGTACTATCTCTCTCTCTCTCTCTCTTTCTCTCTCTCATATTGTCAGTCCTTTTTTTTTTCTTTTCCTTCATCCTCTACCGAATTCGAACGATCGCGTTACATTAACGAGTTTTACGATAAATCTACGAATGAAGAAGGGCATCTCGTAAAAAGAAATGCATCCGAATCTTTTAAAATGAATTATAATTTTCTCAAATTTGAGAAGAAGAAGAAGAAGAAAATAAAAAAAAAATAGTAAGTCATAGGTAATAAATTACAATGGGGTTGTTCAATTTCGTTTTATTTTTCTTCTTTTATCTTCATCGATTATAAAACAATTCTCCCCGGAGTATTCGCGTTAGTCATCGAGAGTACAGCAAAGTTCCACGAAATTGTATATGTGTGTGTGTGTGTGTGTGTTGAATAGAAAAAGATAGAGATAAACTAAAACACAGAGGGTGGTTACAGAGAGAACGATTAAAAAATAAAAAAGATAGAGAAAGAGGAAGGGAGTCTAGGAAGAATAGGAGGGGGTGGGGGTGTGTGGGGGGGGAGGGGGGGGGAGAAAGATTTTAATCGGTTGCATCGCGTTTAGTGTTAGTTAGTTTCTCAACGAGCATCAGCTAATCGAGTTAATTACCTGGCACGATAAACCACGACGACGAGCAACGAAGACACGAACACGATACGATGATGACGACTTCGCGACAGCTGTGAGAAGAAAAAGGGCAAACCCTAACGCAGATGACGCCTCGTTGAGTCTCGTTCATTCCTATCTACCTTTTTCTTTTCTATAAAAATTTATACATACAGACACGTACACACACACACACACACGTACACACTCGTAAATTCTATTCTCTTTCTTTTCTTCTTTTAAATACCAGCTCGCCCACACACACACACACACATATATATATATATATATACATACAATCCGTAAT